AAAAAACTAAAATCTCAAGGACAGGAGGGCTCGGGAAGACTAACGCCCCATCTTAATGTGCCCTCCCTACCTTTACTCTGCTCCTTTTCCTTCTTTGCTTCCTCTACTATACATCTAGGGCTCCTATACTGAACCAGCCCTCCTAGCCGCCTGGCCATCTTCTTGGCTTCTTGATTCATTTATCCAACAGACTCAAAAAGGACTCCTGTCTTTGGTCACCACCTCTATCCTAAGTGTTAGACACCCTCAGACCGTCACTGGAATGTTGGTGTTACTACATCTATGTTACTGATGGGGCTCAGAAATAACCACCACCACAACAACCATATTTATTAGGTGCCTATCATGTGACCAAATCTAAGAGATCAAAGCAAAAGATCAATGGCTACAGCAATCATCAGAGACTTAGGACCAAGGGCCTTCTTCCTTTCCCTGGGCTACAAACACTGCAGGGATTCTGTGCACCCCAGGGAAAGTGATAAAGCACCAAAATCAACTGATAAACTCCTCACTTCAACTGTGGCAGTGAGGGATTGAGCAAGATTCATTTTCATTAAAAAAATGTACATATATAATATTTAATGTGTACATATCTTACATAAAATAAATATATGTAATATATTTATATATATGAAATCTTACTAGCCCTTGAGTGCTTTGAGTCAGATCAGTGTAATCATGTTATTCTCCAGTTCAATAAAGGTTCAGTGATTTCCCATTTCCCACACTGGCAACTGCAAACAGATGACCCACAGGCCTGCCAATGTCTCGGTAGGGAGTTCCAGAAAGCACACACAGTGTCATAAACATCAAAAAAGTATCCATTAAAACTTTTGGAAAAAAAATCCAGAAGCTCTGGCTGGCATCTTTGGACGCCATTTCCACGTGGCATCACCAACTGGAATTGAACATCAATGTCTACAAATTTCCATAAAAAGCAATTTCATTAAGTGTCAGTTTCGCATAATTTTCAAATTCCATTTTGGTTGCCTCTTTGATTCCTGGGAGACCTAGGAGTATATTTTTAAATTTCTCTATCTATATTGTTTCTTAAAATTATCTTTTTGTTATTGATTTCTAAGTTAATTGTATTTTTTTAAATAATGAGGGTCTAGATGACACTCGTTCTCAATTTTTGTTGAGAATTGCCTTATGTCTAAGAACAAGGTCAGTTTTCATAAATCCTCCGCATGTTCTCCACTGGTTGGGGAAAGTACTCCATATATGTCCATTAGATCTGGTTAATCTATACACTTACTGAGTGCTTATCTGCCTTGTCTATAAATATCTGAGGGAGTAGTCTGAAAACCTCCCACTCTGATGGCTGACTGGTCTATTACTGTAATTTTGTCAACTTTTGAAGCTATTATATTCTCCAGACATTCTCTAGAATGTCTTTTGCCTTAAAATAGATTTTACCTAATATTAATCTGGCTATACCAGCTGTCTTGAGTCCCTATTTGTCTGGTATAATTTTTTCCATCCATTTACTTTCAATCTTCTGTACCATTTTACGTGGACTTGTAAATAGTCCACATCTGACTCTGCTGAATCGATGTGTATTTGTTGGTTTGTTCACCAGTCAGACAGTCTTTGATTTTAACCCTAAATTTCAGTAAGTCATCAAATATTTCTTTTGATTAAATCACATGGATTAAGTTTTAGCGTCTCGTTTTGTATTTTCTCTTTGTCCAGCTTTTAAATTTTGCCCCTTGTCTTGCCTCCATTTGGCTTGATAGTGTTTTTTTTTTTCCCCTTCTCATTCCACTTTTCTTCTTTTCTGATTTGAGAATCATATTTTCTATGTCTGCTTTGTTGTCAGTATCCTAGAAATGATCAGTATGCACATCTAACTTTAAAAAATGAAGGTTAATCAATATCTTAACCTTCATTTTGAAAAACATACGAACCTTAGAACCTTTAAATATCAATCATGCCTTCTGACTTACACGTTATGTATTTGAGGGGTTTATTTCTATACTGATTTCATATGCCCACAAAGTAGATTTTTAATTGTTTGGTGTAGTCAGTGTTTACAAACAAGTATACCATATTATTTACACACCATTCCTTCCTGTATTTCATTTGCTCTTCTGGGCTCTTTTTTTCCTTCTGAAATATATTCTTCAGACTTTTATTAATGAAGAACTATTGATAGTAAACTCCTTCAGGATTTTGGCTTTTTGCTTGTTTGTTTTGTCTAAAATTATCTTTATTTGGGGCTTCGTTCAAAAAATACTTTCACTGGATAATCAGTTTTATATTTAATTGTCTATATCAACAATAATTTTTTCTTCAGTACATTGGAGAATATTATTATATTTTCCTCTGGGTTCCACTGTTGCTTTAAGAAGGCAGCCGTCAATCTAGTTAACACACCTTTGTAGATAATCTTTCTTTTCTCTTTGGTTGCTTTTTCTTTTACCGATTGCTTTCAGGATCATCTCTTCGTCTTTGGTGGTCTGCAGTTTCACGAGGATGTTTTCAGGTGGGGTTTTAATTCCAGTTGGGATTCCCTGAGCTTCCTTAATCTAAGGATTGTAGTTATTCATCAGTTGAGGAAACTTCTCAGCTATTATCTTGTTGACAATCATCTCTCCTTTTTTCTCTATTTTATCTTCCTGGGTTTTCAGTTAGACACTCATTGGACTTTCTTACTATATCTTCCATGTCTCTTAACTTCTGTTTTATAATTTCTATATTTTTGTTTCTGTATGTGACTTTCTGGGTAATTCATTCAGCTCTGTCTTCTGGTTCATTAATTTTCTTGTTGGCTGCTTTCAATCTGCTATTTACATACTCAGTTTTCTATTTTAATCATTATATTTTTAATGAAAATTTTATTTGGTTTTGCCATGAAAATCTGCTTCATCAATATTGACAGTTTCTGGTTCCTTTACCATGTTTTCAATATCCTCATTTATTTATTTAAATGCACGCAACGTATCTATTTTATAGTCTGTATCAATGACTCTGCAGTTCTTGCAAATCTGATTCTACTTTTTTGTTTTGGGGTTTTTTTTGTTTGTTTGTTTGTTTTGCTGACTCTCTCTCATGGTATCCAGTTTCCTTGTATATTAAAACATTTTGAATTATGAACTCATGTTCCTTCCACTTTATCTATGGACATTCTCTGGAACCTGTGTTTACAGTACATTCCTCAAGAAAAGATGTTTGTTCCCACCAGTTGCCTGTAGGCACTTACCAACCCAGGACCATTTTTATTATATTTTTGTCTTCGAATTTTTTTAGACTACTCAGGTAGGGTGAATTATGGCCTCCAAACTAGAGTGAACTCAGACTGATGGTTAGAAATTCTCAGATGAGGTTTTCTGGATTCCTTTCCTTTCCTTCCTTCCTTCCTTTCTTTTTAAATAGCTGTATGTAAGGTGAGAGGTGAAGGACCTGAGCTATGAAAGAGTATCTTTAAAGTCCAAGATGGTCACGTCTCCTTTGTGGGACTAGCCTTTCCAGCTTGCCCAGTGTAAGTGTCACCCTCTAGGGTCCTGTTTTTAAACAAGGCCTGAAGGTTTGCCAGTCAGACTTCTTGCCCTCTCTGGGCCCTGGCTTGGTCTTTTGACTTCCACGCTGTAGTTCATTAAAACCAAGTCTGTAAACAGGATGCACTGACCGATGCACACCGGGAAAGGAAAGGCGCTTTCTCATCGCTTCTCGCCTTGGGTTATTTTCTTTACTGTCAGCTCATTCGGGCTTTTTAAATGTTTTATTTTAAAACATATCTCATCCAGCATTTTAAGTGTTCTGCATCTGGAGGAGGCAGAGAGACAGAGTCTATCATGTTTTTCACTAACTTCCTTCTTTCCCCCATCAGGTGGTAAATACTGTAAATAAAACTGCTCTGTTCTGTTTAACTAGGCATTCCTGGCGCACATTAAGCATTTAATAAATGCTTGTTGTTTGAAATAAACCTGTTCTCTGTTATCTGAATAAAATTCTGAAAAGTCTTAACAAGAACCATGCCATTTTCCTCCCCTGGCTTCCCACTTTTCCTCCTTTTCTCAATGTAGTAATGTTGCCTTTTGATTCACAGATAGTCTTTATTCATAATATGTTATTTACAATGTTCCTCTGAGCCAAGTAACCATGATTTTACCTGGAAACTCAATCAACAGGCACCAGCCTAACATCGGCTGTTTGAAATAACATTATTATATAAAGTGTAGGAAGGCTTAACTCGGTAGTGCAATTTATCTTTATTTACACTTAGAATAGAGTTCATTACCCAACGCTATCAAACTTTTACACCTAAGTGACCCTTCTATCAGCAGTGAGGGAATGCATAAATGGGGCCTGAAGATGTAGCTAGAGTTTTTTTAATCTTAAAAAATCATTCAAATTTTGATTTGTACTACAAATTAAGTCGATGCTTGTTTTTAGCAACAATATTTTAAATTATTTACCAGTAAATTATATACTAATATCACTGCCACCAATTTCAGAGCCAAGGTGTCCGTCAGAAAGATGTGCAGCATTTGCACTATGGCTTTGCTCACTTCCGGGATATGAGTGTGTGCCTCATTTCTGGAAGCACCACATTACAAACTTAAAATGGAGAGATACGGGACAACTCAAAAAAAAAAAAAAAAAAAAAGACTGCTATGGAAAGAGAGCCCAACTCTTTCACAGCTCAGATATGTCACCTCTCACCTCACATACAGCTCTAATTCAGGAGTAGTTAGCTTAATCACCTAAGAGGCATTGCTTGGAATGTCAGTGAACACAAAGAGCAAGGCAGGGACCGTGACGAAACAGGAGGACAGGTCCTGTCCAAAGGGTGGGGCTCCACTCACCTCCAGCCAGGTGTTTCCATCTCTAGTGGTGAGGATCTCCCCAACCAAGAATCCAGAGTTTTATGTTCATTTTCCTAATTTTAAAAGTTGATCTCAATCAGCTGGGGTGGAGAACGTTGTGTGGCTCCTAAAATTATAAAATAGAACACAAGAGATGATTTTCATAATCTTGGAGTAGAGAAAAACCTAAGTGTGACAGAAAACTCAGCAGATAAGAAATATATATATGTATATATGTGTATATATATATATAACTTGGCTATATATTTTTTAAAATTCTGCATAACAAAAACACCATAAACAAAGTCACATGCAAAAGCTAGCAAATATTTGCCAACATAATGCTAATTTTCATAACATATAAGTATTGGAAGTGAGATAAATATATATATCCTGATAGAAAATTATTGGCAACAATATGAAGAGACAGTTCACAGAAAAGGAAATACAAATGGTTTTAATATATGTAAGAGGAAGAACAACATGAGCCATAAAAAGAGAAATGCTAATTAAATTGCTGTGATATACCATATTTCACTGACTTATGTGGCAAACATCAAAGAGCTTCAAATCTCACTGTTGGCAAAGAGATGGAAAACAGACCTCTTGTACCTGGATGGGGGATTATACATTGATAAGAGTCTACAGGACGGTCACTGGCAGAATTTATCAGATTTACAAATATGCTTACCTTTTGACCCAACAAGTCATTTTGTATTCAGACACATAAAGTGAGTTAGTAACACATTTACTGAATAACATGTATGTACTGCGGTGCTTTCTGTGCACATTGTTTGTCCTACGTACAAAGAAGAGGCTTTAAAACAACTATTAAATCTTCTTGTTCATACAAGAATATGTCTGGGCCCAGATTTGATGCTTCCTGGGTGATAGGCAAGGAAACATAGTGGTAAAGAGCATACGCCCAGGAATCAGATTCCTCACTGTTTAAATAAGACACATCACTCATCAGCTACATACTGTTTGGGGCTGCTTACTTAGCACCATGGGACTCAGTTTGCTCATCTGCAAAATGGTAGTGATAATAGTCACTATTTCATAATGGGGTTGTTGAAAGGCTCAAATGAATGCAATTTACAGAAAAGACTTAAAACATGCCTAGTGTGGCAAATCATATTTTCTAAAGATGGCTCCCATCCCATATACTCTCCTGCAATGCAACTTTGTCCTCCTCCATCAAGAGGTAGAGTCTATTTCTCCAGTCCCTTGAGTCTGGGCAGACCCTGGATCTGCTTTGACCAAGAGGATATGGAAAAAGTGATGCTGTACCAGTCTGGCCATAGCCCTTAAGTGGCCTGGTAGCATTCACTTCTGCCTCATGGAAGTCAGCTCCCGTGTAAAAAGTACAGAACGATGAAACCATCATGCTGTAAGAAGCCTAAGTTACATGGAGAAGCCCTGAAGGATGAAATGCCATATGGAAAGAGAATTCAAGGAGCACCTGAAGACTCAGATATGCTGAGTGAAGAAGCCATCCTGGAATTGGGACCCACAGCCTCAGCTGTCCCAGCTGGCATTATATGGAAGCCAAGCCCTTCCCAGAGTCCTGACGCACAAAACCATAAGCAAAACAAAACGAACGTTTTAAACTAGTAAATTTTGATATTATCTGTTACACAGCAATAGATAACCAAAATACCTAGTATAAGATGCTGAAAAAAGGATCCTACTATTACTTTATATGAGAGGTGTGTGACTCCCCTCAAAAATATAATAAATAGTTATAACTATTTCATTGATAAAAATTTTTAATTATTTTTAAAGTGATATTTTAGCTGGTTCCACAAAGAGAGGTCTTCAGTAATTCCCCAGAGATAAAATATGTATATATTTATAAAGGGATAAATTAATTAAATCTAATCAATATAATATTATTGGGGTTACTAGACTTGTGCAGAGCAAGCTCAACTTTTAGAGTACAAAGATAAACCAAATGCTCTCATATTTCACATTTTTTTCAGAGCCAGCATTCTTGGAAATGAACACGGAGGGGAAGACTAGCAATGAATCTCCCCACATACACGTCTGCCTCAACTTACTCTCATTCTCTACTGTAATTCATAGGAGAGAAGCCGAGTCATAATTCCTCAGATATGTGAAATCTCTGCTTTGTAAAATGCATGGACAGACAACAAATCAGGTATCCTTTTTAACCCACAATTTGGCTGATAAAGACACTCCAGGCTACATTAGTAAAATGCATTTAAGCTGTCAACAGACACAGCACAGTAGCATCTTCTCAATAGTGCTGTACTCATATAGAACCACAGACGTAATTACAACCTTTAACCAGTCTTTGCAGCTCAGTAACACCCCCTAGATTCAGCTGCCCTCTGGTTGCTTTAGGTTAACTCCCCTCCTCTCACATGGAAATTGTGTTCTAAAGAAAAAAGGACAGTGTCTTCACTCTTACAGGATTCCCTTCATCTCTGTCTCCCCACCCACAGAGCTTTGCCTATGGTAGGTGCTCAGTAAGTATCATTTGAATTAACCTTTAAAAAAATGACATGGAAACAACCTAAATGTCCATTGATAGATGAACGGATAAAGAAGACGTGGTGTGGTATATATATATATATATATATACACACACACACACACACACACACACATACATATATACACACAATGGAATACTGCTCAGCCATAAAAAGAATGAAATAATGCCATTTGCAGCAACATGTTTGGACCTGGAGATGATCCTATTAAGTGAAGTAAGTCAGACAGAGAAAGACAATTATATGATATCACTTATATGTGGAATCTAAAAAAAAAAAAAGATACAAATTTTATTTAGAGATCAAAAATAGATTCACATAGAAAACAAACTATGGTTACCTAAGGAGGAAGATGGGGGTAGGGATAAATTAGGAATTTGGGATTAATAGATACACATTGCTGAATACAAAGTAGGTAAACAATAAGGACCTACTGTATAGCACAGGGAACTATCTTCAATTTCCTGTAAAAACATACAATGGAAAAGAATCTGAAATATATATATATACACACACACACACACACACACACATATGTATATGTATAACTGAATCACTTTGCTGTACACCTGAAACTAATACTGCAAATCAACTACACTTCAATAAAAAATAAAATTTTTAAAAATGAGTAAGACCCAAACTTGTTCTAAGAGAGATTTCCATCTAACGTTAACAAATAGATCAGAAAACAGCTATTGACCTGGTCTACAGACAGCCTTGGCAGTGGCCTAAGCATTTTGTTTAAAGAGTAATAAATTATTTTATTGATCTAATCCCTTTACCCTCGAGTGCAGTTTCGGCTGTGGCTGATGACTGGAAACAGGGATGGAGCTCTAGGTTATGAGTCATGGGTTCTGAGAGCACAGCTTTTGAAGGGAAAATGTTGTATAAAGGGAGCTGATGCAGAGGACAACGATTAGGATAATCTTTACCAGTCACTGCACGCTCACTGTGTGTCAAGCATGGTATAGAACACCTTCTATATGTTATTTCATTACTCTTTACAATGGAGCAAAATGAGTATAATTACCTGGATTTTATAGTTTTGGAAACTGAGGTTGAGAGAAAATTGAAATAATTCCCCCTCTCTCCACCCACCCCACCCACCATCAAAAAAATAAATTAAAGTAGGAGTGAAACATTTCTACCTAGGCAAGGTGATTCTCGAGGGATTTTAATGACAAGACCTTCCCTCCTGACCACATAAGTGGCCCATCAGATTTGCTTTCCCAGATCTTTGAATCTTATGCCAAGTCATAGGGGAGAGAGTGATGCGTGGTTGGGGAAGTCACCTGCCAGCAGCATGTTTAAAAGAGTTCTGTGCTCTCAAATCCACGCACTTCACTGGCTCCTTCTTGAGACCTGATGGGGCAGCTCTTTACTTCCTACAATTTTACTTGCCAGACAGCATCCTTCCAAGTGCATCTTTCTTTATCAGACTAAATTTCTGTGGTGTTCAAGTAAGAAACCACAACTGATAACTTAGTACCAAAGAGCATGATGATAAAAGCATGGGTATCACACCGAGATGGGCACAAGGAAGTTAGATTCCCAACTGTGATAGGGGAGGTTTGGGAATTAGCTCATACAAACACTCATGACCTTGATCAAACCAGTGCCTGTGGTCCCCAGACAGCACACAAGAGCAGGTGAATCCTTAGGGACTGGGAAGTCACTGCCCAAGGAGAGCAATGCCAAGATCACAAGTTCTCCTCTGAATGCTCAGGATGAATTAAAGCTGCAAAGCACATGCCCAAACCTGGCATCCCCGCCTCCAGGCATGGAGGAAAACACATGGCTTTCCAGTGAGTACTAAAAGTGCTTCTTATCATCTTAGAGTTGAGCTGGTAGAAAACGAAACCCAAAAGACTGATGCTGGTGTTCTCTGAATCCAAATACCAGTTAAATCCCCAGCCTTGCAAAGTCTCTTTATTTGAACATCTGAGCCTTGATCAGGAAGGAGAAACAATCCTTCCAACTGGAACAGTGACATCTGAGGGAGTGGGGACCCTGTGGAAGCCCATTTAACTTTTACAAGAAAACAATGAAGTGGGTGGTATTTTATAGACAAGAAAATATTTTATAGCTAGGAAGAACTTACAGGTTTCACACTGTAAGAGGCAGAGCCAAACAGAATTCAAACCAAGAAAATCTGATCCAAAGCCCATACTCTACACCAGCGTTCAGCAAACTTCTTGTGAAGTTTTTTCTGTTTTATTTTGTTTCTTTTAAAAAGTTTTTTTAATATATTAAAAGACCTGCTTTAGTGACAAGCCAGCCCCACCAGAAAATAACTCCATACCTCCTTGTCAGTAACATGCTCAGATTGTCCAGCCAACTCATATTTCCAAACCCCTGTGTGGACAAGTACATGTATGTCTTTTAAACCAAAGCCCCAGGGCTCAGCACCTGCTCAGGGACTGAGCTTTGCCCATGGAGCCAAAAGCCACTGAAGACAGTACAGAACAAATAGGCGTGGCTGTGATCCAATAAAACTTTATTTATGGACACTGAAATGGAACTGTTACATAATCTTCACAGATCCCTAAATATTATTCTTTTGATTTCTTCAAATAATTTTAAAATATTAAAGCCATTCTTTGCCCAC